TGGTCTTGATTGTGTACTTGTCTCTTGCATTTGTTAAGCCGAGGAATTGAGTGAGCTCAGTTGCGGCTTTCTTCCTAGCGACTTTCTTGGTAGCGGCCATGTACGAAGCCACACCGACCAGGGCCGCCATTTCGATCCCTAAGGGAGCTAAGCTCACGAAGGTCAGAACTTTCGCCAAGTACCGTGTAAACGATAGACAGTTTTCAAGATTGGCCTTCAAGGCTGCCAATTTCCTAAGCCGGCATTCAAGTTTCGCAATGGCCTTTGCGCGACCCGACAAAGCGAACGTTTCATCCGAGGATACGGGCAGGTAAACAAGGCGACATGGCTGGGAGGACTCGCAGTGCAGGGCGAATCCAAATGGCACTTTGGAAAGGGATCGGGTTGACGAGGACGTATCGCCAGTATCCGTACCGTTAGAAATATGTACAGTGGGGGTGGAGGTGGAGCCATTTATGAGGTAGATACCGCCGAAGAAGCGATTCCAGATCGAACGGGTCTTCAGTCTCACGACCTCTAGTGCTTCCCCGAGTATACGACGGGAGCGATATCGTACATTTGCCCAGGACCTGAGCACAGCTTGTTGTGGGGTTGCATCATGTATCACCACCTGTGGCGTGTACTGAAGTCTACCACAATTATCCATTGTCCAGTACATGATCCGTGCACGCATATGAGGGTCCTGAAAGCCAAGCCCGAAGGATTCATCGTTGACCTTCTTCAGACCGCGAATGAGACAGTCTTCGTGAGTCTCCATGAAGCCACGGCTCAGCTGGCTAGAGAGAAGTCTATCCAAGCGACCGTACAATATTTGCTCTTTGTGCATGGTGGCTGACTGCACATTGAATTCGTCTACCACTCGGTTAATTCGAGGTGTTATGAAGTTATCGATGCCGAAGAATCCGGTGGCGAGGGAGAGTATCGCGGAGCTGAGGTACATGAAGAACAACCCCAGCAGTAGCATGCGCGAGTTGGCGAGTAGAAGCCTGATTTTGTATGGAATCCTTGCCTTGGTTGGTTCCGATGTAGCGCGTTGACCGTCTTGTGAAAACTGGCTTCCAGCAGGCGTAATGCTCAGCTCTGCTTGAGGTGTCATGTCCATGGTGATCACTGTGGTGGAAGGCACCCTAGCGTTTGCTGAGCCTTGAGCTTCGTCGCGGGCGACTTCCATGTTGCAGGTGCTGCGATGTTGTGTTCACGTATTGGTAAGTGCCGAACTCTTGGGTTTTTAATTTGAGAAGCCTGTGATTAGGGGTCTGGTTAGGCTATTCATGGGTCCAAATAAGCGTGTGTGGAGAAGGTGCCACTGATGAGGCCGCAAGGCACCAGTGACTGCACGTGCTGGATCAGGCAGCACTTGAGTGAAACGCAGTCAATCGGACGTCGATCGTGACGCGAAAGTAGGACAGTGAGTAGTGATTTCAGATCAGTCTTGATGAGTACATGCAGGAGATGGCGATGGAAGCTCGGTGATATTCTGTTGTCTGGTGAAGACTGGAAGGCGCGATGCGGTCTGCATGACGGCAGGGTCCGCCTTCCGCTGTCGGAATACCAAGTTGACGCGATAAAACATGAGACTGTGTTCGAATATGCCTAGTCATATTTCTGATTTAACATGTTAGACGTTAGAGATCCAAGATTCAATGATGGTATATACAGTATTATGACTACTTACTACTTCTTCCTCTGTGCCCTTTTGCGTGGCGGTTGCCCAATATCCTCTATGTCTATCGCACCCTCCACATCTTCAGCTTTGATCTCACCAACATCAGCAACCACCGTCTCTTCCTTCACTGCTGCCTCTTCGTCGCCATTGGGTGCCTCGACTTTCACAACGGCTTCTTCCTTCTTCACTTTCGTCTTCTTAGCTACCACTGCTGAGGGACATAGGCCTCTATCTGCCAACTTGCAGTCACCACACTTTCTGCCCACAGGTAAGCATATAGTCTGTCCAAAGCCCACAAGCAGATTGTTTATATCATGCCATTTGTCTTTTGGCAGCCATGACTCCAGAGCGGCACGTGTTTGTTCTGGATTCTGAGTCTTATGCCAGCCCCATAAGTTGGTAATGCGGTGGACGTGGACGTCGACTCCAATACCTTCATGCCGGCCCCAAGCTGCACTCAAAGTGAGGTATCCCATCTTAGGCCCGACACCAGGTAGTGACACAAGTCCCTCGATTGTGTCTGGAATATCGCTATTCCACTTGTCCCGTAGAATCTCCGCAGTTTGCTTGATGTACTTGGTCTTGAGGTTGTGGAAACCCACTTTGTTGATGAAAGCGTTGAGCGCAGGCGGCTCTAGTGCGAGGACAGATTCAAGATTGAAACCCTGGTTATGTTAGCCGTGGAAAGCAGTCGCCTTTAGAATTAACCCACGCCAGGCATTTTCTCCTGCATGCCTCGCATGACGGGCGCTGTGACGGTGTCTTTCGTCTGACTACTCAACATCAAGGCTATAAGTGTCTGAAATCGTCGATCTCGAGGAGACCTGTTCTTCTCCGCCAGACTCTCGCACCCCATAGTGTCTACCGGCGCGACATTCTCATTCCGCATTTCTCTCGTCAGGGTGTATATCTCCTCCCAATTGGGTGGCGGCTCCATCTTCACAGACCCATCGTTGCCCTTAATCTTCTTCGCAGGCGCGCGTCGGGCTTTTTTGACCTTTTCGCTTTTCTTCGGCGATGCGATTCCAGCGATCGTTGTTTCCTCTACCTCCTGCTTCACGACGATAGGAGTATCTTGACCCCTTTTCCTCTTCATAGGCACTCGTCGCGCCTCTCCATCGGAGGCTGAGTCTGCTGGTACCGAGCTCAGCTCTGAACTTGCCCTAGCATTCTCGTCGCTACCTGTCTCTCGTTTGATAGGGGTCTGCGCATTGGTCGCGCTTCGGGTCTGGCGTAGCGCTCGTTGGGTGCGGCTTGCGGCGACGATACGGGACGTGTCGCGAGACACTCGTGAAGTCCGCATTGGAAGGTCAATCTAACGATAGAAAACTGTGTGAATGGCGAGAGGTCCTTGTGATAGACTCTGATACGGAGCTCCGCGAGCTGATGCGCAGCGCATAGTAATGACGATGACGAAGACGCGACTCAGCAAACAGCCAATGAGCGCCTATCGATTTCATGGGTCTAACGCGACTGCACGTGAAGCGTCACGCATTGATGACGTCAGCGAGGACTCGATCAGAATTTCGATTGGAAATACAGTTGCTGCAATCAACGCCATTACAATTTACCTATTTAGGAAGAACGTCATCTGAATACACGTGAGACAGCTGGTGGAAATGTCAACTCCACTTTCTCTGAGTCCTACACTACTTGATAAGTGGTGGCCGTTTCTTCTATCATGCTAGAACAGATGTATTACTCGCTTCGATGTACACTATGGGGCTCTTGCAGCCTCAGAATGTTTGATCATCAAGCTTCTATCCAGTGAAAATCCCGTTTGCCTATTAGCTAAGATTCACACGTGAAGGTTTACGCTGAACGGATGGCTCGTGCTGAATGCAAGCTAATTTGGTACGTGCGGAGACGTCACGACTTCATGGAGCTATACCAGCCGCGGCTCACACCTTCTGTCACCCATGGATTGATCTTTCACCCAATATAAGATTACACACAACAGGCTCTCTGAGTACGGCGCAAGGTCTGTGCTACCAATCACCCACACTGCACAACTGAAAATGCTACGCGAGCAAATGAAAGAGGTGGACCTTCTGATTCTGGGCGCTGGATGGACGTCCAATTTTTTGATACCTGAACTAGAGGACACCGACATAAGCTATGCCGCAACCACGACTACTGGAAGAGATAACACGATACCATTCAAGTTCGACCCCAGTTCCGGCGATGCGGAACCATATAAGCGCCTTCCCGCGGCGCAAACCGTGATCATCACGTTCCCGCTGGTGGGACATACGCAGTCGAAGACCATCGTCGGCCTTTACCGCTCCGTTCACGGCGCAAAAAACAACTGGGTGCAGCTAGGCTCTACAGGCATCTTCAATAAGTTACCCGATGACTGGAGCGATGATCATGCGCCGTATGACAAAGAAGACAAGCGAGCGATCGCGGAAGACGAATTACTCTCGCTTCACGGTTGTGTGCTAAACCTATGTGGCCTATACGGAGGCGAACGCGTGCCCGCTAGGTGGCTCCCTCGCATAGTTCAGTCGAAAGACGATGTGCGGAAGCGAGGAGCCGTGCATTTCATCCACGGTGAGGATGTTGCGCGCGCCATTATTGCAACTCATCGGAAGTTTACCCCGGGGAAGCGATGGATTGTTGCTGACCTGCGCGTCTACGACTGGTACGATCTCATCATGAGCTTCAGCGCTATGGTCGAATCGTCCATGACTAAAGAGGAGGCGGAGACACGTCAGGAATATGGCAAATGGGTGGGAGAACTCATGGAGGAAGAGGGAATTCGCGCTCTGCCACGTGATGTGCATACCTTGGGCAGGAAGTTGGACTCTAGGGGCTTCTGGCATTACCATGGGCTCTGGCCTCGTCACAAGCGGCTGGCATAGTGGATCCACTACTCGAGCAATCCAATGGAGTCACATTTCTGCGATGCTGACTAGGACGAGACTTTTCGATTCGATTGGTCTGACATTGCGGTCACGTTTTCTGGACAGCCATAAATCTGGTATAGGCGAAGAGTACCACAGTTCAATGGATAGTCTCCATGGTCTCCGCTGACCTCAACACGATTGTATGGCTGATTTCTAGTTTTGATTACCCATCCATAACATTTTTCATGAGATCAATTTACTCAGATGAACCAGATTTACAGTGTTCCACGGTCCCAATCTTCTCGTCGCTCTGTATAAAACTTCTGCTCAATCTGTGTCTTTCTTCTTTTCTTTTCAGTTCAGATCACATTCTAGTCATCGACACAAGTTTTGGAAGTATTTTTGACTACCCATTTCTCATCCTAGATATTCTATTCCAACATCGTTCACCCACACAACGACAAATCCCCTCCACTTTCACCAAGATGTCAACCAACACTTTCGCAACACAGAGCGACATGGTACAACGAATCAACATCGGCGGCCTAAGGTTACCTACCGACCAAGAACGAGCAAGAATATCTCAGCTTTCTGCTCGTCCGCAGCTCATAAGTATACCGCAGTTACCCATTCAAACCAGCTTCGGATTTTACGGTAGTTACCCTTCTCCGGCTGCGTTCCAACAACAGCCTTTCTTTCCTTCTCCCGGCGTCGCTGCTACTAATTGCTTTCCTCCTGGTGCCTTCCCCCACCAGCAACAACTTCACAACCTGGGTAGGTCACAGCCCACATTCTCTTCTGGCGTCGCTGCTTTCAGTGGCTTCCCTGTCGGTGTATTCGCCAACCAGCAGCCGCAATATCACACTCCGGGTAGGCCACAACCCGTGTATGCTCCTGGCGTCGCTGCTACTAACTGCTTTCCTACTGGTGCCTCCCCCCACCAGCTACAATATTTTCCCCAGGCTCAGACCTATGGAGGTCAGTATAGCCAGAATGCCTTCACGGCACCGGTGCAGGGTCCTTGGGCGGCTCAGAATGTTGCGAGTACCGCCGCGCCGCCTGCTCAGCAGGAAGAACAGTATTTTGATCTCACCAGAGATGACGAAGAAGAGGTGCGAGCACCCACACTAGCACCAGCATGCCCTGTTGTCCCCGTCTCGGCCGCCCAAGACACAGGTCTCCTCACCCCTGCGGATACACCCTCCTCACTAGAGGCCCCCTCTGTCCCCGAGGCACCCTGCCACCTCGGCGAACGAGTCAAACACCTCCAGTTGACCATCAGAGAAAGCTATGAGCCATGCGCCTTCCGCCTTTTCCGCAGCTTCATGTTCATGAACATAAAACAGCAGCGTGAGTACTGCAGCTTGTTTTGGCCCTCGAACGAAGCGGCTTATGAAGATATCCTTCGAGCCTCCAAACTCTCTCTGGATTTCTCGACCATATACTATTTGCGCCTTTCGTTAACATCGAAGCTGAAAGAGGCCAAGAGCGAAGAAGAGCGCGAGAAGTTGGAAGAAGAAACTGAGGTCATTTGCGCTGAGATGGAGAGAACTTGCAAAGCCAAATTGCAAGATAGGAGGGATGAAGAGAATTTGAGCAATCTCCACCAGGCTGTTACCACTACCAAGGGTAAGAGGAGCAAGGCCTCGAGGGCAGCACAACTAGAGGTGTGGAATGAGGAGAATGTAAGAGTACAGGAAGCAAAGCAGGAGAGGTGGGCGAAGCTGGATGGCCAGCAAACCCCAACTTCGCTTGCTGGCCAAAAGAGGAAGCAAAGGGTTCAAGAGGAGCCTAACCCTGCTCCGAAGAAGAGGGGGAGACCTCCAAAGGTCAGGGCTGCAGAGGACGTGGCTGTGGTGAAGGAGAAGAAGAAACGTGGGAGGCCTCGGAAGAGCCCTGTGGTTCAAGAACCGACTCCTGAGCACGCCATCGATGAAGCGGAGGATGATGGGGCGTTGGAAGCAGCACTGTATGCTGGCTTGTGTGAGGATGTCGTTGGAGAGGAGGAGGATGGGTCGTCTGAAGCAGCTCCGCAAACATGGCTCGCCGCTGATGACAGTGACGTTGTCGATGAGAGTGCTGAGGTGGAGCCTTCTGGACGAGTACAAATGCACGATGAAGATGATCGGGTTGCCGGAGCCGTCGCCGAGGACCGACCGGAGGAGGTTCGTGTGGATGAGAGTGCTGCTGTAATCGTCAGCTCGTCTCAAGAGCATGGACAAGAGGAGGAGGGCTGTGACGAAGACTCTCTCTTCGGAGACTCTCTTTTCGAAGACTTTGAGCTTGGAAACCTCCTCGATACGGGGGCTGCGAATGATATTGGGGCTACGCTAGACGGCATGTTCTTCTAGTCATGCATATGGTATGGGTAGTTCTAAATATAATGCTACCAAGGGCCCCTAACTCTTAAACTCCACGCTATGCGAACGTACTTGAAAATGCCATAAAGGCGAATACAAAAGGTAATAAGAGAAAACAAACCAACTGGCCTCATGTTGCATCCGGTCGATGGCATCACGGGTGCTGGCCCTATACGTGAGCCAGAGCGGGCAACGAAACAACCTGCTTAAACCTCAATATTCTCGAAGGGATCCCGGTCTGGCGGCAGTCCCCTGTAAATGACGCTGCCGCCTGCGTCTAGCCTTGCATTCACACTAGTGATCCATACACGCTTCGTGAATGCACTAGTCCTCTGAATCTCGTCCTTAGCGACACCCAGGTCGTCATGCGGAATCCAGACGGCGGGCTGGATAGCGCGTGTCGCCGGATGCTGGAAGGAGCGTTTGATAAGCTTTTGGCGAGCCTCAGGCTCGATGTCAGCGAGCTCGTCGTCTACTTCATCGAAAAGATTGCCAGCGGGCAGGACCTGTGCTTCAACATCGCGGATGGGTTTTGCAACATCGTCGAGACCTTTCTTGAGTGTACTGGTAATCATATCTAGAGGATCCTTGCGCTTGTGGTGCTGCTTGTGGTGGGATTGTGAGCGTGAGTTAGAGCTACGGCGGGAGCGATCTGCCCAACTGGTGTTGCGACCGCGGTTGCCGGGTCGAGGTGATTGCCCATGGCCAGCAGATTGCATGTTACCGTCCAAATTGCTCAGCTCATAAGATCCTGGACCATAGGATGATTCGCGTTGTTTCCTTTCCTCAATGCGGTTTTGCTCGTCCAGGTGTGCTTGCTCGCGCGCTTCGGCCGTCTGCGCTGCATCTTGTTGAGCAGTGAGAGATTGATGCTCGTCATCGCGTTCCCATTTGCTGGCCTGTGCTCGCTGCCACTCCTCGTCTCGAAGGACCGCTTCATCTTCGAATGTGATTGGCAGGTATGTGAAAAGAGGCCCGAACGCCCTGTTCAGTACGACTTGGAAGAGGACAGTAAAGATGCCCATGATAATCATGATAATACCCTGAGGGAAACAAGATTGGTTTCCTTTATCGTCTTCTTGTAGGAAGAACAAGCCAACCATACAAAGCTCGAGGAAATACAACCCGGTGAACAGCTGGTTGACAGCTTTCGGGAAGATGAGACCGTTGGTTTCGGCCTTAGCGTAACTGACATAGATCATTTGGTAGCGGTATGTGAACCAGAAGAGGCAGAAAGTGATCAACATCATGATCAGGATCAAGGGAGCGACGACGGAATAGATGAGACCTGCGCATTGTTAGCTTTAACGTGCATTATCACAAAGGACTTTTACTTACCAATGGCGGCAAAATTGGTGTAAACAGGGATCATAGTTCCCCAATTGATACCAGGTCTTTGCAACACCCTTGAAACCTTCTCTCGGGGCGTTGTGTCGAGAAAGCGGAGGAATATGATGACAACGACAGCACCGATCTGTAGCAAAGTACCAGAACTGATACTGAGAGCTTGCAGAATCATGTAAGAGAAGAAGTAGTTAGCGGCCTTGGGGAGGTTCTGCGCCAGTGTCAATGGGACACTAAGAGGATCGTTGATCAGTTTGTCAATCGTCGAGGTGATACCTGTCGAGATCGATACTACCAGAAACAACTGGACAAAGACGAAGGCGAAATAGAAGTTTTGGACGAGCAATTCGCGTTCGCCTGATGTCGTCGTACCGGTAAGACCAGCGCAGAAGCGCAGGACCAGAGGCAGCACAGCAAAGAGAATGGCCAAGAAAGCTGGTGGCAACACACCCTGTATCAAACTCACTACCCAGTCGGGAAGCTTGTTGATGAAGCCTAGCCATGGCAAGGTCTTGGTCAGACTGTCAATTTGGGACAAAGCTCCTGTAAAACTGACGGGGATACCCCAGAAGATGATAAGTCCTACAATGAGCAGAATGATTCCAAACATGCGCAAGTAACGCTCCCACCACTTCATAGTCAAATTGTCCCAGAGCACGTAATTGGGGTTGACCTCTACAGTTCTCGGGTTCATTTGCCTTGGAATGTGATGGCTCAATGACTGACAGGCCATGTGTGCCGCAACCTGATGGTTGAATTGGATAAAGGCAGAATTCATCAGCGGGAAGCGTTCTGGGTGAGCCTGATCGTCCGCGATCTCAGCGTTGAGCCGAGCGAGCTCTTTTCGGCAATGATAGATGGTATCAACCTTCTTGCCGATCAACGGCAAGGCCGGCCACCAAGACCAACTGAAGATCGGTAGTCGCATCGTTTCTCTGTCCTTTGGCCTAAGGTACTTTCTCCAGAGAGCATCCTCGCCATCCTCTTCCATGGACTCGTCGTACAGTCCTGTGAGATCATACTTGATTTTACTAGGGTCCTTGAGCTCTAGTGGCAGCTCTTCTCCTGGCTTCTCGAATGGCTTAGGGCTTATAAAATCACCCTGACCAACGTATACGGCCTTTAGCTTATTGAAAGGGTGCTTCCATCCAGGCGTAATAGGTTTCTTCTCGGGCTCGGCTGTAGCTGCAGGCGCTTTCAGATCTGTCTGGGGAGAGTTCGGCTCGGTGATGGTGCCATCAGAGGCATAAGTTTCCTTGCTGGCCAAAGGCGTATGGGTGTCAGTACTAGCCCCCCTGTGGTGAAAGTCGGCAGAGGTTGGCGATGATCCTGGAACTTCGTCGGCACCGTCGAGGCTCGCCTGTGCTTGCTCTTGTGTCTGTGCCTGGCCAGCCTGGCGGGGTTTTCCGCCAAACACACCGCGCATTCCACCGTAGACCTTTTTGTTGAAACGATCGACACCATGGCCGACATCACGGAAACCTTCACCGACGGCGTGCATGCCTTCTCCCAAAAATTGCATTGGCACTATGCCGCGCTTCCGATCGGGTGAGGTTGACCGTGAGGAAGAGGAAGACGACGAAGGGGACTGCTCGAGAACCTTTTGGAGTTGTTGCTCGATCTCGTGGGGGTTACCAGCATCCACACCTTGCTCGTGAGTCTCCTGATTGATCGCGTGATTCTCCATAGCTATGTCGTGCTTCTTCTCTTTTCTGGACTTTTTCTTTCCAGCCTCCTTCGCTGCCTTTTCCTCCATCTTCCTGTGCTTCTTGGTGCACGCTATTATAAGATTTGTTTCGGCAGATTCGAGGGTCCTTGCAATCTTGGTTCGATCGTTGACTTTATCCATTAGGTCGTCATAGTTGCGGTTTATCCAGATATCCTTGATACCACCGGGAAAGACGTCGTAGAGGGCATCGAGAGCTGGGGCGGTAAGCCATTTCTGAGGAATGCTTTGCACCAAAATGGTGGTGGCAGATGCTCGAATACGATGTTCTGGTCTGGTGAGGACAGTCTGCCTAAGGCGTACAAACTGCCTGAGCGCCAAGTAGAAATTGAAGCACGCCCAGCATATGACGCCTACAGCGATGATACAGTGTGCCCATAAGCGATGCCTCTTGTCTGCAAAGGCTACATTGGGCCAAGCGAACGAGTCTAAACCAGAGACTCCGGGCTCGTCGCCCTTGCGATTTATCGGTAGCAGGATAGGTAGGATGATGATAGCCATAGGGATGAATATGCGTAGCAGGAGCTGCAGGTATTGGAGGAAAAGGTAGCCATCGACGCCGGCAATACGGATGAGTTCTTTGTCGCTAATCGTAAAGACATTTCGAAAGGACTCGATAGCGGTCGTGGGGGCTGCGATACGCTTTGCGACGGGTACAAAGGCGGTCTTGTAGTAGTAGATTTTGTGGAACAGACTCTGTCGCGCGGCCGCTTTGTCTTCCTGGTCGCCATCGGCAGGCTTCTTCTTGCCCGTTCCCTTGTGAAGCTTCCAATTGCCACTGAGGACCAAGAAGAAACCAATCTGAACGCCGAAAATGATAGCTGCAGTTGACAGCGACGCGGCGAAATTCTCGATGCTCTGGTTTGACCTTAGCTGCGCGCCGCCGGCGTCGGTCGTCGACGTTGCGGTCGTCGAGGACGTCGAGGACGTCGAGACTTCGGACATGGCTCAGAGTGGTCGTGGTCGTGGTCGTGGAGGGTCGCGTATGTGGTAAAGCTGCGAATCGGAACCCCTGTCTTAACCTCTCGTTGCCATGGAAGAAGAGTAGCGAGGAGGCGCTACCGTTTGCGGTTGTAATAGAAAGAAAACAATATTAGTAGGGTAGTAGGTAGCAAAGAGGCAGTGAATCAACACAACGAAGAGAAGGCGCGAAGTGCTATCATTATTGATTCACAGGTGACTAGGGTGTCGACGTGTTTCAAGCCTTGCATTCCCTGATGCGCGGTCGGTCGGGGGCTTGGCAGCGTCACTGGCGTCGACTGGTGCGCTATCCTACGAGCTAGCCGCCCGCCGTTTGAACCAAACAACCGCTGGCTTTGTGGTTAATCTGAAACTGCGGGTAGACGTTGTGTGAGTGGCCGCTTCCGTCTGCAGAGCTGGTACACGTCGCGCTTAGCTGCAACACTGCTCAATACATCGTTCAACACGAGCTTTATTACTGAGACCCATCTGGGTGGGTAAAGGGTCAAGGAGCAATAAGATTGTGGCACCGTGGCACCGACGTGGATCCGATCTGAGCATCAACCCCGTACTATGACGTTGGAAATGCCAGGAAACCGCTCCGTATTACCGTATTAGTTGCGCGCACGTGCCCTCCGGCTCCCACCTGCCAGGAAGAGCCACGCCACAGCCAAGCCTCACCATGTCGAGTCAATTGGCCGAACTTCAAAAACTCGAACAGCCTGGCCCATCCTTCTGAACCTAGACCCTCATCCTTCATGTCTCTCTGCAGCCCTTTGCCGCTTCTTCTTCAACACCACGACAAGCGTCAAACAGGCCACAGCGCCATCAATCTCGGTACCGTCTACCACCACCGTCCCACCGGTTACAAAACTATCCCACCACTTCTGCGCGTACTTGGCTACTTCCGTCTTGATCTGCTGCTCACCACTCCCTGTGATCCGATAGAGCGTCATGTTCG